TCTATTATAGCCAATTTTCCTACCTATGGTATGTTGAGAGCAGGTGATTATATATCTCATTACATATTTGCCATAGATACCTCATAAACACACCTCAGTTGCTGTCTTTGTGGATTGACTCTTGAAGCAACTTTACTTGGCCGTGATGCACTCAGATATTGATGCTTCAATACTTACACGAGTTTTCTTTGATACCATTGTTGAGATAGAGAGAATTTGCCTCAAAAAAATGTTAGGCTTCTGGCTATCATTAATTGTTCAATCGAGCTTCAAAATAAGAGAAGCCATAATTTTATATATTAATTTTTTTTTTGAGCTATTACACCAAATACATAAGCTTCAAGTAACCAACAACACCCAAAATATGATAAAATCCTCTAAAACCTTATATATCCTTATGTGGAAAATTTTCCAAATTTCAACACCTCATATCTGTTAATCCGACTATCTAAAGAAACTCAAATTTTTCATGAGGTACTAATGTATTTTTATTAACATTTACAATAAATTTCAAGTGCAAATTCATTACGGATCTTGAAATATCTTGAAGATCCTAATAGTCGCTTTAAACCCTTATTTTTATATATCCGTATGTAATTTTCTTCATATCTCACAAAATATAAGCTCAAATACCACAAAATTTATATTTATAGCTTTTTAATACAAAATATCATATTTTCCAAAAAGTTTGAACCAAAAATTCGTTCAAAAATTCAAGTTATGGCTCCAACCATTACTATAAACAAAACCGCTTACTTACTACCATTGATTTAGAAGTGCCGCCTTCAACTCTCTATAATTCCTTTATATGAACTTCAAAAGCAATAATTCTTTTATAAAAGATATAGGCTTTAAAATATCCATTCTAATCACACCTTTTGATCTTCAAAAGTTACTATACAACTCCTCATATCTTCAAAAGAGTAACAATATATCTTAAATTAACTTCTTAATTTTAAATGGCTATAACTTCTTCATCCTAACTCCAAATATTCTAATTTTTGTATACACATTGTAGTCCAAATCCTAAACTTTACAACTCTATCTTCTAATTTCCAAATGCCTTCTTTTAAGTCACCAAAACTCTTGTTTAAGTCACAAGCAACCTCCTCAAAGTCCATTGGATATGGTATTCGAGCAATAGGGATGAAGTTCTCTATTCCTTACCTTCATCCAACCATCCCTTATTTTCATCCCTCTCAATTGGCCTCCTACTAGTTTAGATTTTCATCCTTAGGCTTCCACCTTCTCCCAAGGCTTCATACTATACATTTAGGTCTTATTTTTTTATTTTAATGTCAAAATCAAAACAAGTAAAAAAAAATAAAGTAAAATTTCTTATACCAACTCTCTTTGAATTATTCTATAAACCATTCTAACACACACCAAGACTTATAAATATATTATAGGTTCTAATTAATTTTTACATACTATAAGTAATTATAGTATGATACCATCTTTTGTCACTATGGATTATCTTGTGTCATCATTTTACTTAGGGATCCATGCTTCAGGAGAAGTTTTTGGAAAGCCTTATTTAAGCTATTACATACATAACTTGCCATGTTTAAAACCTCCCATCCCCAAACAAATGGATAAATAGAGCATGTAAATTAGACACTAGAAGATATACTGTGGACATTTGTGGCTGTTCATCATAATGATTGAGATGAATACTTGATACCTTTGGAATTTGTTTATAATGATAGTATTCAAGCAAGTATCGGTCATTTACCATTTTTCTTTAATATCAGTCAACATCCAATTACGCTAGTAACTCTTTATTATTCCATCAACACCAACAATCTAATAACGGAGGAATTTATACAACAACTTACAATGGCCTTACAAGAGGTATGGCAGTGCCTCCTTATTACATAGAATTGACAGAAGTAGTATGCGGACAACCATAGACAATAAAAGATCTTTTGGGAGGGTGATCAGGAGTTACTCTTTAATGCCAACTTGCCACTTGCTACATCAATCCAAATTTGTAAACTAACACCATGGCCAATCCTATTTATATCTTGTCTTACCACCTTAGATTTTTTAAAATATTCTTAGGTGGTGGATCTCACCTAGATAACCGCCTTAAACTCTTTTTTTAAAAGATTCTATGATAGGCCCTACCTAAATAACTGCCTTAAACAATTCTAAAATATTCTATGGTGGATCCTACATGATCCACTAATCTAATTCCAACTCTAAAAACTTCCATGATTCTAACTATCTATATAATTATCTTTTCTATACCCTATTACAATTAATCCACTTCCACTAATGTAGTGTCGTGTTGTGGTTTGGCTACTATATGAAAATAATGTAATTATGTATTTAATATATAATTTATTAAGTAACATGGTGAGAGCCACGTTAGTAGATTTTAGTTGGTTCTAGAATATAATTTGATTATTACATTGAGAAGAGGTTGTTTAAAAAGATTACTATAGAATTTGTATAAATTTAATTTTTTTTTATAGTAGCTTTTAAGATTGGTTTTGGTTGATAGTAACTTCTAAATATTTAGAGTCACCTTTGTTAGACATTGGTGATCTTTGAAAACTTATTTTGGTTCTTTAATTTGGTGTTTAGAGTATAAATTATATAAATCTTATAAGAAAAAAGATTGAAGAAGGGTTTTGGTAGCAAAAGGAGTAATTAAGGCACCAATATAGATGAATGGAGATGGATGATGAAAATCTCCATTCCTATTGGTCAAAAATCTTGACCAATGGACTTTGAAGAGGCTGCCCGAGGCCATATTAGGAATTAGGGTTAGTTTTTCGGAGCCATTTGAGCTTTGAAGGCTAGGATCAGCAAATTTAGGTTTTTGGCTATGGTTTTGGTACAAGTTTTGTATGATTTGGAGTTTATATGAACGAGATATAGGCGCTCAAAGTTAAGGCGTTGATTTGGGAGCTACTGTCACTCTTTTTGGCATAACGCACGCGTACGGAGGGCAATTGAGGATCGGTGACTGTGATTGGAGAGAGCACTTTTGCGGCTACACTTTTTGCATATTTTTTGCTGGATTCTAAGTTTTGAGCTATATCTTGAGCAACTTGACAAGGTTTTGGCTAAAAATTTCAAGGAATGTGTAAATTCATGTTAATAAACTTTTTATATAAGTTTGATGACATTTGAGTATTGTGTTCTTGCAATATTAAGAAAATAGTGCTCAAATGCTTGTAAATTAGGGTTTAGAGAGTCTGTTAGAGTTTCTTAGATTCTTGAAGATCAGGAGTGAATTTGCAATTGGTTTTTTTGTGGTAAAACGTAAGGGTGAATTCTACCTACTCTATAAATTTTAGACAAACTGAATGGTTAGATCAAGAGTTATGAATTTCTAAAGTTGGAGAAAAGAAAACTTTTTGTGGAAAAAATATGTTTTGAAGGGATTTTGTTATATTTTGAGTTTTATGCAAAATAAAGGAGTTTTTGGAAGCTAAGACAAGATTCATATAAAGGTTTAAGCTATACTCTCTACAGCTAGATACCCAGTATATTTCCAGATAGAAAATCATGCTATATGACAATGGGACATCTTTGTTTCACTACCAATAGTATCTCCGAATTATCTCTTGGCAATGAGTGATTAGTTCTAGCCTTTTGGAACATCTGGTCAGATTTGGCTTCAAACCCTTTCTCTTAGTAAAGTTTGATTTTACATCTTTTTGTTCAATTCTATTCTCTTTTGTTTCCATATGCTTACATGTTTTTCATATCCTATTTTGTGTAATTTCGTTTAGTTTTTTTCTAGTCTATTTTATCCTATTTTGTGATGAGATTTTATGTTGTTGTGGAATAGAAGGATCTTAAGACAGTTTGGTCCTATTTCACATAATCATACAATTTCACATTTTTATTCTTTTACTTCCAAGCTTTAATGTATTTTATACTCCTTTGATACTTAAAGACTTTCTATTACAAATTCAATATCGATTACAACTATTAGAATAAAACCAATTTACTTTTGTTTAATCAAAGAATATTAAATGAGTCAAATCACCATCTATCCAATATTCATAATGTTTTGAAATTCTAACCTTGACTTTATTTGACTAGGTGTGAACTTTGGATTCTTTTATTTAACTTTGGATTTCAAACCTACTTGATGCAATACTCTTCTTATAGTAGAAATAGACCCTATAATGTAGGCCTTTTCTCTTATATAAATATCTACCTTTCATGTTGATTCAAAACCACCAATAATGATTACTCATACTCATGCTCTTCAATCAGCTATAATGAATATTCTTGGTCTACCACCAATACTATAATTTATATCATTGAACTTACTCAAACATTACATATGAAATTGTACAATAAAACTTTGGAATACTTACAAATCTTATAAATCTTTCTAGTGTTCTCACCCCACTTAAGCCTTGCCAAAGAACTCCCTTTTATCTATTATCTTTTAACTTAAAAGAAATACCTTAATAAAGTTATTTTGTCACGGTATGCAATGGTGGTGTGTAAGATGATATAACCAAGACATACTACCATACTCATGCTATCAACTAAGCATGGAAAACCACTTAGAAATGTTGGAATTATTGTTTAGATTACTTTTGTTTTTCTGCAATCCAAACATGAATAAAACTTGAGAGGTAGGTGATTTGATCCAAATATTTCTCTCTTCCATTTGCATTGCTGGACTTGTACTTTGGTTGCTGCCTTAGTATTCAAGGCAACCATATCCTAGATTCCATCTTCGTCCACGACAAACAAGTTCAGGACCACTTCATTAGAAAAACAACCTCATATCATGCACCTCATATCCAATAATAGGTCTGAGATTCCTCTCATCCAGTTCTGTGCTATACCTACATCACACACCCATAGCAGCCATTCCGTTCACCATGCGAAACTTTCAATCCCGATCCTCTCACAAAATAAAAAATAAAGCCCAAAAACCCTAAATCTAAAAAAACAAAGCGAATTGCAATCTCAAAAATCACCCACATCTTCATGTGCACAAAGAGAAGCATCGACACTGACCCGTACAAATCGAGGCGAAACAGCCCCTCTGTTCTATCTTGAAGATCAAGTTACAAACACAATTTACCTCGCCGTCAGGTACAAGTCGGCACACTAAAAGGCTCTAAATGGCAGTAGCACTACGTCTCTCTCCCGCTTTGGACTTCCCTTTACCAGAGCCCAAGTGCTGGGTGACAAAGATTACGCCCATCACCAATATCAGTACACCCATCAAGGTAAGAAACAGGATAGCTCCCGGTTGCCTGGTTTGTACAAAACCAAAGATGCCATCTTTGGTTACAAGGATGAGGTCGTTCAAATTGTCACCTGAAAAATCATCATATATTATAGGCGCTGATCCGGCTGATGGAAGGGGCACCTGCGCCACGTGGCTGCCTTTCGGTGACAGCACCACAGCTTCGAGCTCCCCCACTGCGAGAATAGCGTCAACCTCCCCATTCTTCCTCAGAGGCAATGCTGTCAACGTCGAAATGACACGGTCTGTTCCAACCCCTTCCAAATCAGGTGACGTCGTCCAGAACGCGGTAGTCGCAACCTGCCAACGGTGTTGAGCCTCTTGGCCGCGCTTCGGGCCCAAAACAGAGAAAGAGGTAACCTACAGCAGTGGTACGATGAATCCCAACACAATAAGAACAAGAAAGACCCTCCCTCCCAAATAACACAATGGATACGCTGCAACCACCTAAAGTACGACGGATACTTAACACCTGCCACACCTTGATTGTAAATTGCAGTTACTGTCAAAACGTGTTCATGTCCAGGCTATTCTACTTCATAGAGTTTCTAGTCCGGACAGAGAACCAACCATCGAAGGTGAGAGACGAGTAAAGAACAGTATTCAAGTATTGACAGACGAAGAATTTACCTCTCCACGGCTATTCAGGAAGACAACGTCACCATGACTCCCCTTGCGGTGGCGCTGGCCATCTGGATGTGGCAGAATGATTGGAGCAAGAACTTCTACAAACTCTTGAGCATCTCCTGGATGCGGCCGTCGCCCGAATTCACCAGAAAACTCGTGGTAACGGAAAATTTGAAAAGGTGAATGCCGGCACACTGTGCCATTAAAAAGTTGCTCCCTCACAGGTACACCTGAAGTAGCAATCGCCCAGCACGGCTTCAGAGCTTCCGTCATTCCAGTTGGCACTATACGTGCTGATCCATGACCTCCAACAGCCTGCACATTGAACCACATTTGTTTGAAGTTTCAAAGAAGGGCATCATGTCTATTCAAACTACATCTTTACCATCATGCCGATCATGTGACAATATGATTGTGTCTAACTGGGCTTGGAACATGGTATCATCGACTACGCCAACACCTGATACTCTCGACGGATGATCACCTAAGAATGTCCTCAACTACATCGACTAAATCAACAGTACTCGCAACGGCCGCTATCCCCAATAAATTGCAACTCACCTGAACATGATCAAGAACCCCATCACCGTTGACATCTGCATGAAGGCCTCCTTCGGGTAGAAACAGCTGCAAATACCCACCAATGCTGTGATGAATGTCAAAAAAAAAACATTCGGCACCACAAAAACTAGCAAGTTGCACGCTCCATGCCCACGTTCATACACAACAGTTATTGCGTCACTCGTCTTTGGACCCCAACCCGAATACCACCAATCCTTCGTTCACACCAAGATGGGTGAAAATCATCCCATCACGCCATCGACCGTCTCAACCATCCACTGAAGTACAGGCACGCAACCAACACCCTCAAAGACTCCATTTTCGGTTTTGGCCAAGTCTGAAAAGGTTTCAGCTAATCATGAATTCCATCCAAATGCTTCCAGTTTATCTCTTCAGCATCTTCCTTAAATCACACGTACGATAATTACCTTGCACACAGTCCGGCCAGTAGCCAAGTGTACAGCCTCGATCCCTTCCTTCAGGTGTGCCACAACCACATTGGGAACCCACCAAAACGACGTGTGATTCGTTATCATCGGAACGTACTGAAATTGTTGCTGCACAATCATTCATTATATCATCGAACAGAATCTTGCAGTAATACTCCAGAAATGAAAACTTTAATATCGTGCACAAAAAAAACCAAAATGCTGATGCTATAGCCACCGCCGCACATCATGCGCTTACAGACCCAGACTTACACATCACATGGACACGTGACAAAGTAGCAACCATATACTGATACCTGCAAAAAATTCCTTAGCACTTGACACAGCCATGGCACTCTGCATGCACTGCACTGTACCTCATGTACTCAACAACCCCACCGTTTGTTAGCGACTAGGAGCTTCAGGATGATCAGAGATGAGGAGTTCGCTGTCACCTTCTTAACTTTCGCACCAACTGCTAGGTCGGCAGCCTTGCCCACAACTTTGGCAATGGGATTACCATGCGCATCCTTGCCTGGAGCACTTTTGTCCGCAGGTTTCTCAGATGGGATACTACCGCCTTTGCCCTGCATCTTCTTCACCAACTTTCGGCGATGTTTCCGAAAATGTGCCAACTCGAATCTTGTGTCCTCTCTGTGCTCCTGAATCGTGCCATTACCAAACAGAATCAGAGATCCGCTGCGTTCGACGCACCGATCATATAGTAAAACCAAACATAGCCAAAACAATGAATTGAAAAAAAAATAATAAATAAATAAAAATAAATAAATAAATTCAAGAGCGGAAACTCACCCATCGATGTGGCATTACGTCTAGAACTGACTCCCGGAATTCTCTGCATTCAACCTGCCACAGAATCCAAAACCCCAACTCAAAAACGTCTCTCTTTCACAATCCTTGTGTCACATTGATGCTCAGCAGCCACACAACCACCCACTCTCTCCATGCCCATCTAGAACCGCACCAACCCCGTACGTTCTATCGAATTCAGACGTGCTAGTCTAGTGAGGTACAGCGATTAGGCACACCTCTCCAAGGTGCCGAGTAGCAAGCGAGCTCGCATCCAACTTGTAATTGTGTTGCGGTTGCAATGCGCCAGCGTTGGTAGCACGTTGAAAGTCCTAATAACATAAACATCAGCTCCAAAACAAACTCTGTTTCAAACTATCACACACCCGTTTGCTTGCAAAGTGGCTCGAGAACCTTGCCCTTATTCATAACTGCAAAATCAGTGTGAACCTGACACACCAAGCAAGCTAAATAAACCTCGATATAAACTGCGATCTATGAAGAAGCCAATGCAGCAAAGGCGCTCTAAAGTGCGTGCTTTATACTGGCCTTGGGCAATTTATGTCTCCTTGGAGGCCTATCATCATGTGGCTTAAAGCTCGTCCTTACCTCACTTCTATGAACCCACCGACGAGTGCCACTCATACCGGCATATGCGTAGTATGAAAAATGTCGCTCCTTGCCACCATCCATCTTCTTTGTCACATCCTCTCCCTCCTGCATCATAACAGAACCAATGAGGACATGACTGACCACTACTCATATTTCGCTATAAATCCAAATCGCACGTTGTAGGCATCTATGCTTTACGAACTGCTGCCACCCAGTCGAGCACGCTACCTCTTTGGCACCAGCTGCACGTCGGTGACTCTCAAACATTTTCTCAGCGAGCCATTCCTCTTCAAACGGATCCAAGTGCATCTGAACAACCCAGCTTGTACTTCAGAACTCTAGGATTGAGCATCAATATAAGTTAAACACCTCACCCAAACCTCAGTGCCACATTCTCTCATCACTCAGTCACTGGTTAATCCTCTACAGGATACCAAATCCACTAAAAAAATGAATGCAAATCGTAAGAGATTCAAGGTTGAGTCATACCTGAGGCTGAACCTCCATACTCCCGCCCACGATGATCAGTCCAGTATCTCTATGCTTCAAGGTGTAGTTGCTGATGGAGATAGCCACTTCTTTGTGGTGAGAACCGTGTAGAAAGTCATCCTGTCAACCAAGTCACTCCACGTTTGAACAGGTCAGTGAAAGTTATCTCTCGCTTGGTCAACATCGAACGCACAGAATATGCACTAAAAGTACACTTTTCCGCAGATGAAGAAGGGCCCAGTGCCAACAACTACACACCTGAACATCATCTTCCCAAAGCTTCTTCAAATTGTGGTCAAAGCACATGATGCTCCACCCAGCTGTCACGACCACGATCACTTTCTTCTTCAAATCCTGCGCTCTGTAGAAGCGTTTCACCTCGCCTGCAGCTAGAGCAACCGGTCTCCTTCCAGCGCTCACTCGCACTCTATCCGGCAGGAGAGAAACTTCCGCCAACACCCCTGCTTGCGAAAATCCATTCTCAGCGAATGACACCCGTGGGTCGAGAACCTGATCCGGCGAAAATCAATGATCCAGCAAAGCCATACAACACTCTCTCAGGAACTTTGCTAAACCATGCTAAATTTGTGTGCAAACAAAAGGAAACACGCAAGCATCACAGCGGCACTGAAGATACATTCAGTGCGTGATGACCCCCCCCCCCCCCCCCCCCCCCCAAATTCCCATCGGCAACAACGCATTGATCTGTGCTCTAAGAAATACAAAATTTACTCCCTACCAAAGCAATGCATTACCCCCCAGTCTAACTCCGAAACTCGATCCCGTGCATTCTTGACTCTACCTGAAGATTGTCTTCGGAGGCCACAACAACCTCCACGTGACCATCTCCATTCAGATCGGCAACAACTGGCGGTGGTAGACGCTCCGCTTCGTGCTTTATAGGTGAACTATTCTTGTAATGCACCCACGCTGGTCGAAACGAAAGGCTCCCTTCGTTCTACTCAACACACACCACACTCTTGTCAATGCTTACAAAAGTCCACAAGACCAAATGCCTGCGACCCTCGACGACTTGGTTACTTGTAGTGACTTGATTGAAGGTTAAGATGCCGTCGGTGAATATGGCGCAAAAGAGCCCACTTCACCAGCAACAAGTACTCTACAAAATTGCACTTCTCACGAGGACACAAGTACACGATATGAGTCACACCCAACCTCAATCACGAGCATGAGTGATACAAACCCTGTTTTTTAGCACCTAGGCTTATAGACCTCGATTCCACCGGTTAGGTTATGCCTCAGAACATGAAAGCTGAAAACAACCCATTGTTCGGTGCATTCCATTATATCCTCTACGCTCAAAACTTTTTGCGCAAATTCATTTATGTAGGCACACATCACAGCCTAGAACCCTACTACGCCAAATTGCTTGCAAACTTCCTTTCTGCGAATAGTCACGAATCGTATGCAGTGACATGCATCTTCGCCAAAAACAACAGACAACCCTCAATACATTGCAGCCATTCACAGAGTTAACTAAGGAGGAATCCTGTAACAATTTTTCACAGCAGTTTTACTTGATGCTCAAAGAATTCTAACCGACAGATTCCAAAATTAGATCACGAATTCCACAATTCCAATCGCAAAATATCGGCCACGCTGCTCACCTGGAGCGAATAGAAAATGGACAACGCCGAGAGCAACAGAATTCCCAAGTCGCGCTTCCTCATGATGGCTGCAATCAAGTCCGCTCCTCTCTTCCCATCAATCCCTCTACCGCATCGCCTATCACCCTGGAAATAAACCGAACACCGCATGACTCCCGAACCACAGCATCCTACACTGTCTCCCAACTTAGCTGAAGGCGCAGGGCATCACAGCAAAAAATTTCACCAAACCAGAAACCACAGACTGTCCACGACAAAAATTTCGCATGCACTACTCCGTGTCCGCGAGGCATGAACAACCCACAATCTGTTCCTGGCTGAAAATTCCTACAGAAGATCGATCCGAAGCAAAAACGCAGCAGCGTGGTGCTCCTGGTGAAGGAGGACACTGAGTCTCGACCGAGCCTTAAAGCGCGGTCATGGGAGGTGAATCATGACACCGTGGTCGGGACAATCGTCGGAGTAAATACGACTCCGAAGTTATGGAATCTGCTAAATTGAGATCCTCATCGGACAATGTGTGCGTCTTATAGGCTTGTCTTGAGGGAGGAGGTGGATATGGAAAAGTCTAATTTCCCACTGCTCCAGGCGAATCGGTTTGCTTTGCTGGAGCTGATTCTACTCTTGTGAAGCAATGGGGCTCTATTTTCGTCAGCCCGTGTGTAGTTTTCTTTGCCATGTTGCAGTCTATTTCATGCAACAATCGATGGTAGATTTGGAAAAACCAACATTGCTCTCATCCAACTAATATGTAGTTATTTGTTAGCTTAGTTGTGATGTATCATCATGTTTATATGATGCCACAAAATCAATAGTTTTTATAGTTTATTTTAATCGTTCGTAGCAGACATTTTTCATATGGAGCATATGAGTGGTAAAATGCGCACAAGAACTCAATCAAGAAAGATTCAACATAGGAGTTGTTCTGTACCAGGCATTGAAGACCACAATACAAGTTGGAATGGAGGTATGGAACGAGATCTTTTATTACAAGAGAGGCCCGGAGAGAATATCAGAAATAGTAGGTCGGCTTTTGATCATCTAGACGCAAAACGACATCTTCGCTTCACAAGGATCCGAACCCCAATGGAAGCCTACTCCTCCGGAAGCCTTCCTTCCGCACCACCTTGCTACATACAACCCGGCTCTAGAGACACAACCCCTCAGAAATGATTTCCACAGAGGCGACTCTCAACAGTCTGAAAGATAAGCAATGGATGCCAGCAACATGCAATCGGCCAGCGTCGACAATGCCATCAACGCTCTCTTTGAGGAAGTGTTATTGGAACTAGGGAGCCAACTTGAGAGACAAGATGTACCAATAATCACCACAAAACCAGACCACAGAATGGTATCACAAGAAGACGTTCCACCCAACGAGGAAACAGTCGGGACACCGGATGAATTAGAAGAGGACCGAAGTCACTGGCCATTCCTAATTACACACGTCGATTGACCCACGAAACCCATAGATGTTCGGCTGCAACAACCAGAACGTCATCAGCGACTACTGGAACAAGTAAGCCCCCATTACTCTACGGCGAAGCTGATCAGACAATCCAGCCCAGACACTGCCAACTTTCTGAACATGGTGCTTCAAAACAAGATAGATGACTTACTATTGGAGGTGGAAACAGACAGACACAAGGAGATCGCCACCATGAGCATAACAACAGAGGAGCATACAGCTAGAGAAATCACCAATCTAACCGAAGACTATTGCCGATAGATGGAAGATGGCATAAGATACTTTAATCTAAGAAATAGATGTTAGATTTACTAATATATATAAGATTAATTAATACATGTTGGTAAATGAAGAATTACTTTTATGTAGTTACAAAGTAGTTATGGAGAAGTCACAATTACTCCTCTCCACAAGAGAATATAAAAGGCTCTTATCAATATGATTTAATTAAGTTATTTTATTAATATACTTTATGCTTTATTTTATCATTCTTAATGTTCTTTCTCTTATATGATATGAGAGCACTATACAAACCACTTATATTAAAAGTGGGTTGAGATTATATCAAGTATATTTATAAATAATAAAATGCATTTATTACTATTCAAGGTAGAATCAATTATAAAAATTAATTATAAAAAATCATTAATTTTTTCAATGTTATTTTTTGATAAATTACAATAAACAATAATCAATTATTCAAAATATGACAATTCTAAAACTAGTACCTTTTATGTAGAAGGATTTTTTTTTAAGAATAATAAACCTTCACACATTCCAAAATCAAGTAGTAACTCTTCTTGACAATGTTATTCTAAACTCTCTTATGCTTCACATTCCAATCTACTAACTAAAAATAATAAATTCCATTACTATACAAAATAAGAATACAAATTCTCAAAATGTCACAAAAAATAAAGAAATCAAATGAATAAATCAAAATCTACAAGATTCTATATTAATGAGACACCATTATATCTATTTATAGTAATATTTGTTGATATTCTTTGTTAACTATGGTATTTGGATTTTGGAGCTAACAATCATATGTCTCCTTTGAGAGACCTCTTCAACAACTATACTCCACTTACCACACCAAAACTTATTTTATTAGAAAATAACAACTTTTATATTTCTCAAGGAATTGGATTTATCATCTTATAACTCAAATATGGTCAATATATATATATATATATATATATATATATATTTTAGATATCTTATATTTTCCACGATATGAAAAGAATCTTCTATCAGTGGCTCAACTCACTATGATTTGACACACATAAATTAAATTTATCAATAATACATGTATTATTAATACTAAATCACCCTAGATTAGTAAGATTTATTGTTTTTCATTCTCTAAATGACACAATTTATATTCCTTCAATGAAGAAGTTTTATCAATATCTACTTTACTTCACATTTATAACAATAACCATCAATACTTAATAATCTTTTCAAAACAGTCATATATCTATATTCTTCATGTTGATTATGAGACTTTTAAAGACAAAAATCAAATAAAAGCAAATAACCAAGTGAGACTTTTTTCAAAGAAATATAACAAAATAGAAGTAAAAAAATATATATATTAAAAAAAAAATCGAATGGCTATTATCAAAAAATAAGAAAACTAAAGACTCTTGAATCTAGACTAGAGTAAGAAAGGAATTGGCAAGAGTGAAGAAGCCTTCATTCTTGCTTCTATATATACTATCCAAATAAAAGCTACGTGGCAACGTTCTATAAAAGCTCCAATATGTGTTGACTTTGCAAGCTACATGTCGTAAGTTACAAGGAAAATTTTCTATATATGCACCTTATAGTTAGCTTGTTCTACAAGCTACTCACATATGTGATACATGGCTAACTTGTTGATCAAGTTTCTAATCTAAAACTCAACTATAAACATGTATAAAGTCAAAACCATACCTATAAAGCTTTTAGGAAGCTTTTTTAGAATATATTATAAAATTAATCTACTTTCATTTACTTCTACCTAATCATGTAGGTAATTATTAAAATAAGTGGGTATGTTCATGATATTACTCTTTCTTCTAAGGATGAGTTCGACAAGGCGTGGTCATTATATATTGAGGAAATTTAAAATGCAACAAATTAAGTTTGCCACATACTCTAATCTTTGATCTTTTCTAATATGATTGATACGTCTTTTCAACCATTGGTATTATTTCATACCAAGGAGGGAAGACTACCTTATAATGTGATCATTGTTGAGACCTTCATAATTTCTTTCAAATAAAATATTTAAAACACCATCAAGAATTATTTTTATCTCTAATAAAATTATCAAACATCGGAAATCTCTTCTAAGGTCATAATACTAAGTACATTGTATCTTGCCATCTATTTTAGAAAGAACATATTTTTTTTGAAGATCTTCATTTTGATTACGTCAACTTGAAGGTTGAGACAATTATAATGTGTCATCTGACAAGTCAACAAATAATAGCTCTTGAATTGAATTTACTAGTGGTTGATTCTCTATCTTTTTACTACCACAATATATACAAAAGCTACAAGTAAGGATAGAAGATAGAATATTATCTTCTCTTGATTTTGTTTTTTTTATAGCAAAGATTTGATATTCTTCATTTAGATTTTGATTGATGTCATTGATGAAAAGCTTCCACCTTCTTTGCTACAATTACAAGATTCTTTGCTAGATTCCATGTGTTTTTACTAATATCATATCCGTCCCAATGAACAAGATATTCTCACTTATTTTGGTGTTGATTTGAGTCTAAAACTTCTTCCACCTCAAATTCTTCATTATTCTCTACTTCTATAGAAGAAAGTGGCACTTGTTTTTTTCTTCGTATATTCATTATTTTGTATAGTTCAAGTAGAGATATGTCAAATATAAGTTGGATCTTCATCAATATTATTAGGTATAATCAATAAGCAAGTGGATTATTTTATTTATAAATAAGAAAAGGTCCAAACTTATAATAGTTCAACTTGTTATAACTCAAATAGTCTTGATATTATGTCAAAGTAATCATATCTTATTATCCACATTGAATTATGGTTGTTCCTTAGAATATGCATTTGTATTTATTCATTGTCATTCTTGAGCATCTTTTAATTGCACCTTCATTATTGCATGTATCTCTAACAAATGATTTACAGAATATTTTGTAATAGGGTTATCAACTCTTAAAAAGTCAAAAGCATTAAGTTGTGGATGATAACCATAATTATCAAAAAAAAGTATTTGATAAATAGAAAATTATATTATATTATTATAGATAAACTCTACCAATGGTAAAAGAGCCATCCAATCATCTTTTTGGTAATTGATGATACACCTCAAATATAACTCCAAAACTTAATTAACACGCTTTATTTGTCTATTAATTTGAGAATAAATGGCCTAAGATAACTTTATATCTATCTTTAGAATCTTAAAAAGGATTTTCTAAAATCTTAACATAAATTAAGTCTTCTTATCTAATATAATATCCTTGAATAATCTATGATAGAAATAGATATTTTTAAAAAAAACTTAACTATTTTTTTACTTGTCATAGATTTTGTACATCGTACAAAATATGCCATCTTCATAAAATGATCTATTATCACAAATATAGAATTATACAAACCTAAGATTAAAAGATCCATGATGAAATCCATAGAAATAGAAAACCATGGTTGTTTATACATGGATAATGGTTTGAAAAGTTTATAGGATTGACAATGAGGAGTTTTTAACTTTGAAAAAACATCACATTAGTAGACAAATTCTTTCATTGCCTTCTATATTTGTAGCCACTAAAAGTCTCTAGATATAAGCTTGAAAGACTTATTATATTCAAAATGTTCAGCCGTTCAAAAGTCATGATATTGTCATGATGTAATATAGCTAATAGGTGAAAAAATATAGAAATTATCATATTATAGAAGATCTTAGTTCAAAATATTATAGAAAATTATCTTAAAA